GCTGCTTGCGCTGCTGTGTTCATCCAGCTCTACACCTTGTTATCTCAGATTCTCCAGCATCTGCAGTTCCTACTATCTCTATCGTATTCAATGTCAGGTCACTTTGAGGGGTCTTGGCTGAGAAAAAGTAGTTTGATAAGGATTACAAAAACAGTATCTGACATTTTTCGTTAGAACATTGATGATTGGCTGACAAAGGAATGCAAGAAACAGACGCAGGAGCAGAATGACTCTTCGATTCTGTAGGATATTTTGGAAGATCAGGGCTGAACTTTCTCGCTCTATCCCTTGACTTTCTTAGTGCCCAAAAGTCCACTAATGTCAATATACAAGTCTACCGAGCATCTTCAGCTCACTTAAGTCGAGATATCCAAATATGCGCAATCTTCTAAGTGAAAAAATGTTTCATCTCAGTCTTGAATATATGTCCTCTTATTCTGACACTATGGCCCCAACGTTTAGTCTTCAAACTAAGGAAAAGCAACCTCTCAGGGCTCACTTCATCATTTCCTTTCAGAACTCTATATTTTCAATGATCACCTTTCATTCTTTGAAAACTCAGAATACACGCCCAGTCTGCTCAACTTCTTTTGAAATGAGAGCTTTCGCACCACAGACTCAGTCTTGTGAACCTTCATTGCATTCCATTAATTAAAATTACACACAACCTTAGGTTAGAAGACCAAAATTGCACACAGTGTGAAAGGTGTAATCTCACCAAACGCCCGTACATATTTTTTATCTGTTGTCAAGATATGAGTATCACCAGCTACAGTAGCATGTATTTCTAATCCCTAATTGCCCTTACGAAGGTACTGAACTGTCTTCCTGAAAAGCTGCAGTCCTAACAGTGCTGTTAGAAAGTTCCAGGATTTTGACCCAGCAATATGGAATGAATTGTGATATCGTTCCAAGTCTAGATCTTTGTAACTTGAAAGGGAACTTACAGGTGGTGCTCTTTCCATGCATCTGCCATTCTACTCCTTTGCAGTGGTAGAGTTGTAGGTTTGCAAGGTGCTGTCAAAGGAGCTTTGGCGAGTTGCTGCAGCATATTCTTTTTTTATTTCATTATACACCTGATTTGAGCTTTGTAGATGGGAGACAAGCATTGGGAAAACAGGAGGAGAGTTACTCATTGCAGAATTCCTAGCCTCTGACCTGCTCTTGCAGCCACAATATTTATAAAACTTGTCCATTTCAGTTTTTGGTCAATGGTAACGGTGGGGCATTCAATTATGATAATACTATAGCGACGGCTAGATTCTCTCTTGTTGGAGGTGGCTTTTGTCTGGCACCTGGGTGGCGCAAATGTTATTTTCCACTTACCAGCTCAAGCCAGAATATTTCCAGGTCATACTGAATATAGACATTGATTTCTTCAGCTTCTAAGGGGTTTAAATAGTGCTGAACATTGTGTAATCATCAGCAAACATCCCCACTTCTGACCTCTTGATGGAGGGATGGTCATAGATGCAGCAGCTGAAGATTACTGGGCCTAGGACACAATCCTGAACAGCTGCTGTAATGATCTCCTTGGATTGAAATGATTGATCTCCAATCATATCATCTTCCTCTCTGTTCGTATGACTGAGTTCAAGCTCTTGAGAATTTTTTTCTCTATTCCCATTGATCCCTGCTTTGCTAGGACTTGTTGACACCATTTCCAGTCAAATGCTGCCTTGATATTCTAGGCAGTTACTTTCACCTCACCTTTGGAGTTCAGCCCTTTTGTCCATTTTTGGACCAAAGCTGTAATGAGGTCAGGAGCTGAGTGTCTCTAACAGAACTGAAACTGGCATCAGTGAGCAGGTCATCACTGAGCAAATGCACTTTATAAAACTATTGCTAATGATCAATTCCACAAGGCTCCTTACTCTTAAACTCCAATCATTTTGAAATAAAGGCCAAATAAACTATTGGTTTTCCTAATTGTTCATTATAACTGTATATTAACTCACTGTCTTTTGCAAACAAGGTCACACAATCTCTCCGAATTTCATATTCATCCTCTCTCACCTTATAAAAAAATTGCTTTACAATGCTTCATTCAAAGTGGATGACAGTTACAGTCATTACGGCATAGGAAGAGGCCACTCAGTCCAACAAGTCCATGCCAGCTCCCTGCAAGCAATCCAATAAGTCTCATTCTTCCATGGCTCTGCATATTTATATTCCTTAAACGAACATCCAATATTCTTTTAAAATCATTCACCGATTTTGCTTCAATTCATTTACCCTTGTCAGCAGCAAGTTGTAAAAACAGTCTTCCCCACAACCCCCTGCAACTCTTGCCCAAAAACTCAAACCTGCATTCCTTAGTCATTGTAGCATCAACAAATGGGAACAGATTTTCTTTGTCTATGCAAATCTGTCATAATCTTGTACACTCAATCAAATCTCCCCTCAACCTCCTTCACTCCAAAGGGAACTCCAGTTTCTCAAACTTAACCTTGAAGCTAAAATTCTCATTTCTGGAATCAATTGGTAAATCTCTTCTGCATCCTCTCAAGATTCTTACATGCTTCATAAAGTGTGGTGACTAGAATTGGATGTAATATTCTTGTGCTCTAACCAGAACATTGCAAAGTTGTAGCATTAATGGCTTTGACTTAATATGAACCTCTTTGGTACAACTCCACCAAATGTCTTGATGTTTTCATATATAAAACATACTTACTTTTGAATGTTTTCATCACAGACAGTGATGGATTTGTTTTTTTTAAACTGAAGAGTCAGGTCTTTCCCAGGGCTCTCCTTTTTGACATGAAAACTTCAATAATTTCACACTCGCCCACACTATTCTTCACCTGCCATCTTCTTGCGCATTCGCTTAACAGGTCAATATTCTTTCTAATGTATTAATATTGTCCATTGATCTTATTTTCACAACTAGTTCTGTATAGTCAACAAAGTAAGATATATTATATTCAGTTTCCTCATCTAAGTCATTGGTGAGCGTTGTAAATAATAAAGATCCAAGGGCTAATTCTGAAAGAATTCCAGCGTTTGCTCACTCCCACCGTGGAATCGATTAATTTAGCCCTACTCTCTGTTTTCTGCCCATTAGCCAATCATCAGTCCATCAGCCTTAATCTTGTACAACATTTCAAGGAATGCCTTCTAGAAGTGTGAACTTTTACCACATCTCCACTGGTTTCCATTTATGCTGGTTGCATCCTCAAAACACACCAACAGATTTTTCCAATATAATTTCCCTTTCATGAGCTGTGCTAGCTCTGATTGTTTAGTGATGTTCCAAATGGCCAATTGTAGGCTCGAGCATTTTTCCTACTTTTATTGTCAGTTAACTAGCCTTACATTTCTTGCTTTCATTCTCTATTCTTTCTTGAACAGATGCATTACATTTGATACCATCCAGCATTCCCTCACTTCTAGGGTCTTAATGAATTGGAAATTCGGATTTCTTTTGAAGACTTAGAAGACACAACATGTCATCAAAGACAGAATTTGGTAACTTTAGCCCAACTCTCTATTTCTTTGTTTTTACCAATATTAATTGCTTCAAATTTCTCATTCATTTGACTCTTGGTTCTTCAGATTTTACAGTTTCTTTGTGCATTCTACTGTAAAAAGCAGATGATAAGCATTTATCACAAATTTTTGCCATTTCTTTTACTGCCCTTAAACTAATTATCCAGCCTCAAGCCTAAGGAATCTACTTTGCTTAATTTTTTTCTCCTTTTACAAAAGTAAATTTAGGAGATCTTGTTTCTAGACTTCTTCATCGTTCCTTCTTGATATTCATCCCCTCCTCCAAAATCAAATTCTTGGTCATTCCTTGAAGGTTTTTAAAATCCCTAAATCTAAATTCCTCTCAGTTGCCATTGCAGTTTTCCTTTTCCATCGAATTTTTGTAATTCAAGGATATTACATATTGATTTACAGTTACGAACTTTTCCTTGCATATTTGTCATTATTTGTGTCCTATCTTTTCATCTAACATCCCAATTTTCCTCAGCGAATTTCCTGCCCCAGCTTAAATTTGAGATCTTAGTTTCAATTTAATTGAAT